GTGTGTGTGTGTGTGCATGAGTGAGTGTGTGTGTGTGTGTGAGCGTGTGTGTGTGTGTGTGTGCGTTTGTGTGCATATGAGCATGCGTGCGTGCGTGTGCGCGTAAGAGCGTGCATATGAGCATGCGTGCGTGAGTGAGTGCATGTGTGTTGTGGTAGTTAAATGGTCTTACAATGTGCATTTTCTGTCGTTTGATTTGTCAGTATTTTGATTTGATTTCCCTTCATTATTCTGTCGAGAGCCTGATTTCACCCCGCTGACACACAGATTATTCTATGATTTCCATGACATAAAAGAGCAAGGTTCAACGACCAAAGCCGCACACGAATCGCTACAACTACAGCACACACGACTCACTCTCTTGATAGGCTTGCTTGATCTCAGCAATCTGAGCGTTGGAGCGGGTACACAGAATCTCGATGAGAACGTCTTCGTCCGTACCCAGACCCTGACCGGGGAGATAAAACAGTTTTGGTTGGAGTAAGAGTTTTACGGTACTTGCAACACGATGAAGGTCATACAAGAGCCAAAGATTTGAGGTGGTACAAGAGAGTAACATACAAAGAAATGAAGGAGGTGAGGTAAGGACGATAGATGGTTCAAGTTTGATAAGAAAGAAGAGTAATTCACACCAGTGCCTCTGCCAACCACCCATTCTGATAAAACGCTATGAGATCAGATGAAACAAGAAAAGATAGATAAAAACAAAATGAGATAAGATTTAAAAAAAGATGAGAAACAAAAATGTGGCTTTTTTTTCTTCTAGCAAGTGTTTTACTGAACTTGCAACAATATAAGGTCATATAAGTGCCGAAGATTAGAGGTGTTACAAGAGAGTAACAAACACAAAAAAAATAAGGAGGGGAGATGAAGATGATAGATGTTTGATAGGAAAGAAGTAGCAATCCAGACCAGAGCACCCGCCAACCACCCACCAAAAATGTGTGCGGGTTCCTACCTTGATGGCGGAGCGCAGCATGTGCGCGTCAAACTCGGCCGGGCCCAGCAGCAGACCCTTCAGGGCCTCGCAGAAGTTGCCGCTCGTGTCGCCCTTGATGTCCTCCACGAGCTCCTGGCGGACACAGACAGACGAGACACACATGTCAAACTGATGGGACACTGATGGGACACAGACAGACGGGACACAGACAGACGAGACACACGTGTCAAACTGATGGGACACAGATGTGACACAGATGGGACACAGATGGGACACAGACAGGACACAGACAGGACACAGACAGACGAGACACACATGTCAAACTGATGGGACACAGATGGGACACAGACAGACAGGACACAGATGGGAAACAGACGGGACACAGATGGGACACAGATGTGACACAAATGTCAAAACAGACAGGACATATATGTCAAAGAGTTGGGACACAGATGTCATACAGATGGGCCACAGACAGGACACAGATGGGACACAGACGGGACACAGATGGACACACATGGGACACACATGTCAAAAACAGACCAAACACAGATGGGACACAGACGTCAAAGAGACAGGACACAGATGGGACACAGACGTCAAACAGACAGGACACAGATGGGACACAGACGCGACACAGACGTCAAACACAGGGATACAGATGTCAAACAGATGGGAAACAGACGGGACATACATGTCACAAACAGACAGAACACAGATGTCAAACAGACGAGACACAGATGGGACACAGACAGAACACAGATGTCAAACAGACGAGACACAGATGGAACACAGACGGGACACAGATGTCAAAAAGAATGGACACAGACGTCAAAAAGACGGGACACAGCCGTCAAAAAGACATTATCACATATTACATGCGTCACAACGCGGTGGAATCAGGCGCTCATCAACTTTTGGCCATTTGGAGTTATTGGTATCATCTGAAAGCTTATTCATTTGCCTTGCTGTCAATTTAAAAAAGTACCCCTCTATCTTGAATAGAAGTCAAGATGCTTGCGATTAAAGGAGGTGGGGTCGCCTGGTTTAGTAGTAAAATCAGCGAGAAAATGGCCGACAAAGTTTGGTGACTTCAATAGCTTGAGAGTCCTAGAAAACTGAAAATTTAGAAATTTTGTGCCATTAAAATGAAGTCTTTCAGTAAAATTCACATGGAAATGTGCTTTTATATCGAGATAAAATGTGTTGAGCCAAACTTTAGAAAAAAAATACCTGTTTCTTCGACTTCAATATTTTGACGAGCGCCGGATTTGACCACAATGCCTCACATATCATATCCTCCGACAGCTGTTCTCATGTATCAAGCCCAAACTTTTTCTTTTTTTTTTTAATTCTGCATTGCCTTAGTCTGAGGCATCCGCTGCATGTGCTCCAGAAATATTTTGTCTACATATAAAAATGTGAGGCAGGGTGGTGAAATCAGGCGCTCGTCAAAATAGTGAAAGTAAAGAAACTGACACTTTTCCACTGGTTTGGCAATTTTTGTCGAAATTTTGTTTTTTGGCTCAACACCATCTTCGTTCTTTTAAGAACTCATTTCAGTGTGAAATATATTTTTTTAAACGCTGATAATTAAAGGGACAAATAAAATATGTAAATTGTCAGTTTCAACTGACTCTTTTTTTTATTTTTTAGTAGAGGTTTTACGGCGCTCGCAACTGCATAAGGTCATATGAGCGGCAAGGGGTGGAGTCAACAGAGAAGTCTTTACAGGGAATCAGACTTACTCTGCTCACCTCTCTAGCTTCAACAGCACAAAGTCTACTTCAACTATCAAGGCACCCCGGAAATACCGGGTCACAAGAGAGTGACAAACATACAAAAGAAGTAGAGGAAAATGACGATAGCAAGGATGAGGAAAGAAAACGCAGCAGTACCCTGTTGTAGTTCAAGCACAGTTATGAGAATGACATTGTTGGATCAGCCCATTTACAATTCTACTGAGCACAAGAGCCAGAAATGTCCCCCCTTTGGGAATGGCCTAAAGACACGTCAGTCAGTGGCACCGCCCCGGGGTGTACCACGGACTCTGAATGCGGTTGTTTTATAAATAACTAAACTTCGGTGGCCATTTTCTCCGTAATTTTACCTCTGAAACCAGGTGACTTGCACCTCATTCAATCGCAAATATCATGACACGCACTCAAGATGAATGGGTAATCATTTCATTGAAAGCAAGGCAAATGAACAAGCTTTAATGCAATATCAATAACTCCACATGCCCAAAAATAGACGAGCGCCTGATTCCACTGCGTCGTGACACATATATACACAATGTAGGTACAATTGTTGAAAGAGAGAGATAGAAAGTGAGAGAGAGAGAGTGTGTGCGTCTGTGTGTGTGTGTGAGAGAGAGAGAGAGGGAGGGAGGGTTTTAGTTTTAGTAAGAGATTTACGGCACTTGCAACACAATAAGGTCATATAAGTGCCGAAGAATAGATGTGTAACAGGAGAGTAACATAC